TATAGTGAATTCCAGGCCAGCTGGGGCTATAGGGAGACCTTGTCTCAAAAAGACAAATAAATTAGATAAATAAAACAAAAAAGGTTTAAAGTTTGTTTTTTTATTTTTTTGTCTTTTTTGAGACAGGGTCTCCTTGAAGCCCCAGCTGTCCTGAAACTCACTATGTAGACCAGGCTGGCCTCAAACTCAGAGATCCGCCTGCCTCTGCCTCCCAAGTGCTGGGACTAAAGGCATGCGCCACCACGCCCGGCAATTTTTTTTTTTTTTTTTTTTAAATAAAAAAGGTAGAGGGGCTGGAGAGATGGCTCAGGGTGGAGCACACTGACTGCTCTTGCAGAGGACCCAGGTTCGATTCCCAGCACTCATTTGGCGGCTACGAACTGTCCTTAACTCCAATTCCAGGGGAATCTGAAGCCCTTTTCTGACCTCTGTGGCATTGCACGACACGAGTGCACTCACATACATGCAGGTAATACACTCATACACATAAAAAAATTAATAAAATATTTTTTTAAAAAAGTAGAGTGATTGAGGAAGACATCTCTGGCCTCTATGTGTGTACATGGATGTATGCACCTGCACACATGCATGCACACAGGAACACATGCGCGCATACGCGCACATGAACAGTCACAACTGAGTTAGAAATCCCTGGGTTCAAATCCTGACTCCCCCCTCTGCAGTTAAGCTGTATAATCATCATACGCACCTCACAAGTCAGGCAAGATGGCGAATGAGAGGTAGGCATGGCAGCACATACCTGGAATCCCAGAAATCAGGAAGCAGAGGCAGGAAGATCAGGAGTTCAGGGACAGCCTCAGTTACATAGCAAGTTCAAGGCAAGCCTGGACTATGTGACACCAGGTCTGAAAAAAAAAAAGGGCCAGGGATGCAGGTCAGATGATAGAGTGCCTAGCACTCAGGAAATCCTGGGTTCCAGTTTCAGCACTTCATAAACCAGATGTGGTGGGGCATGATTGTAATCTCAATACTAGGGAGGTGGAGGCAGAAGGATCAGAAATTCAAGGTCACCCTCAACTACACAGTAAGTTTAAGGATAGCCTGGGCTACATGAGACCCTGCCTGGAAAAAAAAAAAAGATTGTGAATAAAGTACTGTATGGAGCAAAGGGACTCAAGTAAGTGTGAGATGACAGGATGCTAAGCTCAAGGACCAGCTTCTCGCACACCAGGGCTCTGCATAACTGCTGTCCCTAGTCTCCCAAAGCCGCCCACTGCAGACACTACCCCCATTCCTATCTCTGATCCTCAGGATAGGCCTGTATCAGTCTCTGATCTCCAACCTGGCAGGTCAACTGCAGATCTGCAAACTCAGAGGACCCTGGTACCCTTCACCTGCCATCCTCCCTCCCTCACCTACCTTCCACCCTCCTTCACTTGCTGTCCTCCACCCCTCACCTGATATCCTTCAGCCTCTTGCAATGCCTCAGCATGTCGGCTAGGGCAGGCATGTATACCACTTTACCCATCATGCCCAGGTTGGCCAGTGACAGGGACTGTAACTGCTGGCACTGCAGGCCGATGCTCAGCAGCCCAGAACCAGTCAGCACGCCAGGCAGCTGGGCCAGTGTCAGGTGGCGCAGGAAGGCCAGCTGGCCAATGGCTGCCACCTCCGAGTCTCCAACGTTCTGGGCCCGGCTGCAGGGTGGGAGGGAGTTGCGGATGGCTGGCTCGTTTCGGGGCATGGCTGAGGAGAAGTTGGAGCCGATGAGCTCCAGGCGCTCTAGAAAGGGGAGCTTCTTCAGCAGAGACCAGAATACAGAGGAGGGCTGGGGGACCGGCTGGCCCAGGAAGGGGCTGGGACAGGTCTGCACCCCAATGCGCACCTTCTTGCCAAAGCCACGGGGCACAGCATGCATAGCTGGTGGGGCAGGTGCTCGGTCAGGTCTCGGTGCCGAGTCTGCCACAGAGCAGACAGGCAGGGAGAGGGAGCGCAGGTGGCAAAGGCGGGCCAGGAGCTGGCAGAGGTGGCGGCCCAAGCCCTCAGAGCTGTGGTGGTGAGCAGCTGACAGGTTGAGATGGCACAGGTTGGAGCAGGATGCCACCAGTGTCTCAAGGATGCTGCTGTCAATCTCATCTTCAGCCTTTCGAAGCAGCGAGTCCGGGGATAGGCAGTGCACGCAGCCGCTGAGGTTGAGGCTGGCCAGGCTGCGAAGTTCCTTCCCTCCATTGATGACCCTCTGGATGAGGTGACCACCGGACAGCGAGCAGCGGCTGAAGCTGAGGTAGAAGGGATTGTTGAACTTCATGTGCTGCAGGAGGGTGGAGCCATTCAGCCAGGACTTGGGCAGTTGCAGTGCATCCAGGGCCACATTGCGGGCCATGGAATCTAGCAAGTTCTTGGTGGCCCCGCTCTCGGCAAAGCTGCCGGGGACAGAGATGAGGAAGGCGTGTAGGTTCTCAGGTGTTCGATCACTGAGCACAGCCAGGTAGAGCCGCACCACTTCCTGGTTGATGTAGCCAGGGGCCAGGCGCGCATAGAAGACACGCAAGTTCTGGTAGTGGGGCACATTGCTCTGGCCCACCATGAGCTGGCCCGAAAGGACAGCGCCCTCCCGTGTGCGGTCCAGGATCTCGAAATACAGCAACAGTTTCTGCAGACTGGCACAGCAGGGCACCACGCCATAGGAAGGTGTGAACAGGGTCTGCTTAAGTTCCTGTACACGGCTCAGCGTGGCTTTGCACTCACTGCTCAGCTGGCTGGCATCAAAGCCCGGGCTTACATCAATGGCCAGTGAGCGCAGGTGCTGCAGGGCCGAGAGCACCTTGGAGAGGCGCAGGGAGGTAAGGTGGCAGCCGGACAGGTTCACCTTAACCAGGCTGCGGCATCGGGCCACGTGTTCAACAGTGGAGCCTGACAGCCAATAGCAGCCAGCCATGCTCAAATGCTGGATCTCCCGGCCGATCTCCTTCACCAGCTGCTTCACCTTGTCCTCACTGGCCTGCAGGACAGAAAAGGGATGGGAAAGGAACAGGAGCTGAAAACAGAGCTGCCAGGGTTTCCCCTCCCACACACCTGCCACAGCCAAGAGTCAAGAGACTGCCCCAGCTCCAGGGAAGAGAAATCGAGAAAAAAAGTTTGCTAGGCAGGCTGATGGCACACAGCTCTCATCCCAGCTAATGGGAGATTAAGGCAAGAGGACAGCAAGTTCAACATCTGCCTGGGCTACAGACTTCCAGCTTAGCCTGGGGTACATAACAGGACTCTTGTCTCAGAAAAGTGGCTTGCTAAGAGCTGTAATTGGGGCTAGAAGGATGGCGCAGTGTTTAAAAGCACTTGCTCTTGTAGAGGACCAGAGTTTAGTTCCCAGCACCCACATTGGGCAACTCACAACTGCCTATTAACTCCAACTCCAGGGAGTCCCATGCCTCTGGCCTTCTTGGGTCCCTGCACTTGAATATGGGTGTGTACATGGGCACACACACAATTAAAAGTAACAACGTTAGCTAGGCGTGGTGGCACATGCCTTTAATCTCAGCACTCTGGAGGCAGAGGCAAGTAGATCTCTGTGAGTTTGAGGCCAGCCTGGTCTACATAGCGAGTTCCAGGTCAGCTGGGGCTACAGGGAAAAAGTGGGCTAGAGAGATGGCTCAGTGGTTAAGAGCACTGATTGCTCTTGCAGAAGACCTGGGTTCAATTCCCAGCACCCACATGGTGGGTCCAAACCATCCCTAACTCCAGTTCCAAGGGAATCTGAAGCCCTTTTCTGACCACTGCAGCAATGAGGCGACACGGGTGTGCTCACATACATGCAGGCAATATACTCATACACATAAAATAAAAATAATATTTTTTAAAAAGTATATAAACAAAAACAAACAAACAAAAAGCATTGCTACTTTTTGTCTCTTTGAGACAGAGC